CCCCCTTTTTGTAAAGGCCCCCCCCCCCCCGCCCGGTTTAAAAAAAAAAAGGGTTTCTTTTTCCCCCCCCCCCCCCCCCCCCCCCCCCTCTCTCCCTCTCCTTCCCACTTACGCCATTGGGTTGCAGTACAGCCCCCATATCCACCACCTGCATAGGCAAGGACACGGCAGCAGACGGGTGACAACAGCTGTGCTGGCGATGCAGAGCATCCCACAGCGCCATCCCGCTCACCCCGGGATGTCTTGCCGCACGATGCTGAAGCCGGATAGAAGGATGAGAACCAGCAGGATGACGCCTGCACAGGCAGAGTCCAGTAGAACGTAAGGCAAGCAAGCTAAAACGCCAGGCACAACAGGCAGGCAGAATGGTGCTGGCGCGTACCGCACAGGCCCCCCGCCACTTGCAGCGTGGGTGTCAGCGCGGCGAGCACGATGAACAGCGCGCCAAACACCAGGCCGGACAGCAGCAGCAGCGCAGTGTACATGAAGAAAGCTCCGGCTGAGTAAGTGTAGCCAGCGATGAAATAAACCATTACTGCGGGGCCAGGGGGGGGGGGAGGCAGGTGTGCGCTGGCTGGTGGCATCCATGGATGGTGAGCTGGCGGGTGGGTGAGTAAGCAGGCACACCGAATCCCGGAGAAGCTGCAGCCTGCCAGCACTGCTGTGCGTTGCCAATTTTGCTCACTCGAGAAGATGAGGGCGCATATGATCGTCATGGGCACCTCCTGGGCCACGAAGGCGGCGCCATAGGCAGAGGGAGGAAAGAATCGCAGTGCCCGCTGCTTCATAAACGTCCTGCAGCAAACAGGCGGGCAAGCAAGCAGATGGCTCGGGCTTGGTTGGATGAATGGGCAGCTGGTGATGATGTGTCACTGCACTGCTTCCCCCAGCGGGGGCACAGCTGCGCAGCAGGGCAGCCCCCCAGCAGCCAGCCAGCAGCACTCACGGCTTGTGTGCAAACACGGTGCCCGTCAGCGGCAGCGAGATGAAGGCCAGCATCGCGACTGTGGGGTGGGTAGGAAGGGGAGCGGGCACAGGAGCGGGGGAAGGAAGGCTGTGTTATGTGAAGAACAAAGAACACAGAACACAGAACACAGAAAACACACACACACACACACACACACACACACACACACGTTTTCAAATCCCCACCTGAGGTGAAGCTGACCCCCAAGAACTTCGAGGCATTGTCCAGGCTGACTTCGATCTGCAGGCGGGGAGCAGCAGCAGTACAAGCTCAGCACACGAGCGGTACGGGAGGGCGGGTGGCAGCACCGGGCCAGGGCAGGCAGGCAGGCAAGCACTGGGCCAGGGCAGCGGCCAGCAGCGAGGCATGTTGCGGAGCGGCGCACCTGCAGGAAGAGCGTGCCAACCACAAAGCCAGCCAGCACCACCTGCACAAGCAGAGCAGGTGACTCTGCCTTATCCCCGCGTTCCTGATTTGCCATACACCGTAGGTACACATGTGTAGAATGTAGAACGGGACCCTCAGTGTGAATGTACCGTTGTTAATGCCCCTGCCGTACCTGCATCAGCCGACCCTGCAGCAGCTCCGCGTCGCGGCCCAGCAGCTTGAACTGGCGGCGGGCGCAGAGCAGGAAGAAGGTCTGCCAGGGCGCCACGTCAGCCTCAACCACCAGCGTCTGCAGGAAGGCGGGCAGACAGGCAACGGCGGGAAGTCGGCGGGGCACCGGTCCCGGGAGCAATCTCACCCACTCTCTCCTGCCCGGAGCAAGCACCACGCCCACCTCAGGGTCCACTCCTGCAAGTGTGCCTGCCACAGAAAGCAAGGCCAGCAGCAGCCCACCTTGGGGATGTCGGCATAAGCCTCTGGCCCCGGGGCGCCCGCCACCAGCTGCCGCATGTCGGCGCCCGGGCCCGCCTCTCCGCCCCAGAAGGCCACCTCAATCTCCTCCAGGGAAGCCAGCAGGCAGGCCTGCACGAGCGATGGGGCACAGCAGCCGTGGGTTCTCTCGCCAGCAACCGCAGGAGCGCAGTCTGATGACCGAGGCACCATGCAGGAGCATGGTGTGATGGTGTCTCAAGCTTGCAGTTGCTGATGCCCGACGCTAAACACGCCACACACCGAGCGGTGCGAAGCAATCAAACGCGCGGCCTGCACCTGCGCCTGCACCTGTGTGTCAAGCCCACCTGCTTGTGGCCGCGAGCCAGCAGCTGCGGCTGCGCCAGCTGGCGCTGCCCCGCCGCCGAGGTCACCTCCTGCACAAAGGCGGGCACCTCCTTGCGGGGCGGGCAGGCAAAGCCCAGGGTGGCGAAGAAGGGAGTCACAGCATCCACGGGGCCGTGGTACAGCATGCGCCTGCAGGCCGGGGGTCGGGGTTCAATGAGCAATGAGTTCGGGCAGAGCATCAAAGGCGCAGCTCTCTGCTGATCCCAGCCACCATGCTGGCAGCAGGGGCTGGGATCCAAAGCTCCCGGCCTGTCAGCCAGGGCTGCCACGGCACCCCAGGGCAGCAGGGCAGCAGCCTGTCGGCGCACCCCTCTGCCAGCAGCATGACGTCGTCGAACAGGCTCATCACGTCTCCGGAGGGCTGCAGCAGGCTGATGACTGTGTTGGCTTGCAAGGTGCGGGACAGGTCGCCTAGATACTTGACCACTGAGAATGTGGTGGCAGAGTCCAAGCCTGCACAGAGGACAGAGGAGTGGGGGGAGCAGGAGGGGCAGGGCTTCTGAGGCAGCGTGACCGAGGGCACGCAGGGCAAGCGAGGCAGGCAAGCACAGGCAGGGTGGGTACAGGGGGTGGGCAGACGAGGCTTTGCTGTCGGGAAAGAGCAGGTGTCGGGCAGGCGGCTGCCCTGCTTGGCTGGCTGGCTGGAGCCGCGCCTGTCGAAATTTCGTCGAGCAGGAGGAGCTCCCGCCCGCCCACCAGCAGCTCGCCGCAGGTCAGCCGCCGCTTCTGGCCGCCGCTGATGCCGCTGCGGCAGCAGCGGCGAGGGGGGGGGCAGCGGTCACACCCCCTACTGTCCATCTCCACCCGCAAGCCCACCCACCACACACCCCAAAGCCAACCCACGCACCGAATCATGGCGTCCCCCACCACGGTGTCTGCGCAGCCCTCCAGGCCCAGCATGCGCAGCGTGAACTCCACCATCAGCTCGGGGCTGGCCATCAGCCACACCACCTGGTCCTGCAGCTGCCGCGGCAGCACGTGCGCGCCCACCTCCGCCTCCTCCGCTTTCAGAACCTGCACAGCACGCCAGGCGCGGCAGGCAGAAGTGAGCACCCAGGATACCAAGGGGGGGGCCGCACTTGGCCAGCTTTGCCTGCCGGCTGATCGTGGGGTGGAGCCGCGGTGGTGATAATTATGCGGTGCTGGCCGCCCACCTGCGCAAACTCCGCGGCCAGGTCGTTCTTGCAGCCGGCAGCCCAGAGCGCGTCGTGGGCAAAGGCCAGCGTCTCCCGGACCGTCAGCAGCGGCAGGTGCACGTCGTACTGCAGGAAGAAGGGTCGGCAGGCATCAGGAAGGCAGGCACACATGCAAACCGACACGGCGGGCAGAGCAGGTCGACAGCGGCTCTGGGCACTGGCATGGCGCACGCCCGCTCGCCTGATCGACGTAGCTCGCGGTTCGCTGCAAATCGAACTCGGACCCGGCTAATCCGTTGTATGTTATGGTGCCTGCAATCTGCAGAAGCAGAACGTATAGGAGGGCACATATAGGAGGGAATGCCTGTGTCTGGGAAGTGGCGAGGGCACCATTCTGGATGCCGAAGTTTCAGTGGCATGGCCAGATGGCCGGGCTAGCCACGAGCCTCACCCGCACGGTGCTGGAAGGGCGTAGCTGCCCCGCGAGCGTCTGCAGCAGCACGCTCCTCCCCGCGCCCGGCGGCCCCAGCAGCAGCGTCAGCCGCCCCTGGCAGCACAGAGGGAGCGTGCAGAGCAGGAGGCATGGCCGCAGGCATCAGGCGTCACAGCAGCCCCAGCACCGGCAAGCACACAAACAAGCGAACACATCATCAAGATGCGTCTGCCTGGCTGCCTCACCGGGCGCAGCACGCCCTGGATGCCCCGTATGATCGGCAGGCGAGCGGTGCTGCGGGCGCCGCCGCCTCGTCGCAGCAGGTCTCCCGACAGCAGCGCATCCAGGCCCACCCATCGCGAGATGGAGGGTATCCCGGCGGCGCCCACCGCTGCATCCGTCTCCACGCTCAGACCCTGGTAGGCCACTGTGATGGAGGGCAGCCTGGCGGGTGGAAGGGGAGGTGCAGGGGTGCGGTCAGGGGAGCTGGGGTGTGTCGGAGCTGCCAATTCATGAGGGGCTGTTGTCAGGCGGCGCATACCAACCCGCATAGCTCACTTGATGCCCAGCTCGCGGAACCGTCGGCTCAGCCAGGCCGCCACGCTCTCCTCGCCGTCGGCGGGATCGGCAAGCAGCTGGGCGGCGAGGGTGGTTGCGTTGACCGCCGCTGCTCGCCACGCCGCTGCCAACTCCTCCTCCTGCCGTCGGTCCTTGTCCCGCAATTCCCGCATCTCGTCGCTCTGCCCATGGGGTAGCAGGTCTGCAGGCAAGGTGGACACGCAGGCATACAGGCCTTGGGCAACTGGCGGTGGCAGCGGCGAGCGGCGGCGGCGGAGCAGGCGGGACTTGCGCTGGTCGCGTTTGCGAAGGCATTCAGGCTTTGCGCTCCAGTTCAATATAATGCCACCTCCCGGGTGGCTGCCGAGGCCCCATTGTTACGCTTTCGCACCTGAATCCACCTTAAGCAGCTTGTTGCCCTTCTGCGAGCCCCCATGTCGCTCTACGAAGCGCGCATTCCCCAGCTTGCTGGGCATTGCCCAGCCCACCCCTCCGGTGCTGGCCGCGGCTGACATGGGGTGGTGCTTGCGGCAGCCCGCCAGCTACAGACACGTCGCTGCTGCCTGTGACGTGAATAGTTCTACTCTGATGGGAACAAGCCTTGGCGTCCACGTCCACCGGTACCGGAAGGCGTCTGCCGCCTCCGACGTGCAGGCAGCTCTTCATGAGATCATAATGATCCTTTACTGAATTATTATATAATGCTTGTCAATAAGTGCACCGCAGGTATGCCACGGTTGAACCGCTGCAGGCTGGGGCAAAAAGGCAGTGTTGCCGCCGCCTCGAGGGGGTTGCCAAGCTCGTTGCCATGAGCCTGTGTGTTTACAGGAATGCCCTGCCGCTGCACGCCAATTTACTTTGCGGCCGCCCTTCCAACAGTTTCCCAGCGCCACGGCACCAGCTTCGCCAGAGCCAGGGCGCCGCCGACCGCGCCCACCATGCCGAGTGCCCACCGCCCCAGGCGTGGCGTGGCGTGGCACGAGACGCAGGCATGGGGCTGGGGCGGGGGTACTGACGCCTGAGCCTCTGGCGCCGGAACCCCGCCCACGCTGCACGGCTGCGACAGCTTGATGGGGCTGCCAAACGCCGTGCCGCCATTGGGGCTCACAATGGCGGCGGCGCCAGTCCCCAGGTCGAAGTCAATGGCAAGGCACTCGCAAAACTCCAGCCTGATGCTGTCCTCGTCCTGGCACACCACTGGGCTCAACAGTGGCAAAGGCAGCGCGCCAGCGGCGAATGCCAGGCCTGCAGATGGCAGACAGATGAGCTCACTGCCACTCAGGCCAGGCACGTCAGGTACTGAATGTGTGTGCTGCCCGCTGGCGGCGGCATGCAGGCTGGGGCTCACCGCTCTCGCTGCAGGTCGTGGTGCGGCTGCTGGTGGGTGGCGCCTGCAGCACAGTGATGGAGCTGCCCTCCGCCTCGAGCAGCGTGGCGGTGCATGCAGCCGCCGTCGCCTTGCTGCCCTCCCGCTGCGCTGGCGCTGCGCTCGCTACCGTCGCCTCGGTGCGGGCGCCGTCCTGCTGCATGGCCGGCGCGCATGGAGCTTCTGTGCCGTGGGCTGCGCCCGCCGCTCCATACATCCTTTCCAGCAAGTCCATGCTGACCAGCGCCAAAGGGCTGGGGCCGGTGGAGGAGGCGGCAGGGCGCCCGCCGACCTGCACCCAAGGAGTCAGGGATGATGCGGCGCCACACTAACCCATGCGGGATGGTCGCATGCACAACCGCAGGCTGCTCGCACACCTCTGCGATGTGCACCGGCGTCGGCAGCCACTGCCCGCCCGTCACGGTGTCGGCTGCCGGGGTGGGCAGGCCTTGGCCATCGGGCGCCGTGCTGCTGGCGGGCTTAACGGCGGTGCTGGCGTGCTTGACCACGGCAGGAGTCACGGTGCTGAAACGCATGGGGGTGCCTGCAGCCAGTGAAGCAGTGACACTCCTCTGTGGTTGGCGGCGGCAAGCCGGCGGCCGCTGCCCCTCTCTGCCCAACCGCCCCGCCAGGGAGGCGGCGGCCCTTCTCCGCACCTGCCATGCTGGTTCCCGAAATGTACAGCGACTCGCCAGAGCGTATTGAAACACCCGCCGGCGCGAAAACACCCGCCTCAACTGTCCCCAAGGGCGCGCACGGCTCCTACCGCTATGCTGAAATTGGCGCAACCATGGATTGAAAGAAAGGCAGGCGGGAGATGTGCGCCAGCAAGATCGCCCCTGCTTTGGTTGGCGCCGGGCACACAGCGGCCGCAGCATGGGCGAACTGTCCTCGCTGTTGCTATTTTCAGCCAGAGTATGTTTGTGACCCGAGCTCCTCCACACACTCAGACACACACCTTGATTGCTTGCTTGCATTACAGTGCATGCCAACCACAGCGCACACCCATTCAGGCCACAAAGTCCAGCCCCCGCCCGGTGGCCGCAGGCGTCAGCTCATACCGCGCCAGGTACGGCGGCGAGTGGAACTTGGACAGGTGGCGGTGGCCGCCGTCGCACAGCACCGTGACGATGGTGTGGCCCGGCCCCAGCTGCCGCGCCGCCTTCACAGCGCCCACACAGTTCATGGCGGCACTGCTGCCCACAAACAAGCCCTCGTTGCGCAGCAGGTACTGAGCCTGCGGCGGCGGCAGCACAACAGGAGGATACCCAAGTTGCCACGGCGACAGCCATGGCGTCAGCGTCTGGCAGAAGGAGGAGTGCGTCGCAGCGGTTTGCAGGCTCGCCTTCTCCCAAGCGGTCGGCAGACCAGCCAGCCAGGGCCGTAGACACCCCCGCCCACCCACCATCTCCACTGCCTCTCTGTCTGTGCCCTTGAAGGCGCTGTCCACCCTGGCCCTGGCAAAGTTGTGGGTCAGCCGGTTGATGCCAACGCCCTCTGCACATGCACAGTTGCAAGCAACCAGTACCTTTACCAGGGGCTCAGCAGCAAGCAGAAGGTCAACTGGGGCAGCTCAGCTCTGCGGCGCTTGCCAGCGCAGCACCCAAAACTAGCCCCTGGCAGCCCTGCACCCCTGGGCCAGCATGCTACCACCACCCACCTGTGATTGTGTCAAACGGGTGCCGCAGCCGCTTGCCCTCCGCCTCCTCCCGGGTGTACATCACCCCCCGCGTCACCTGGCAGGGCAAGCGGGGCAGGCCTGATGACATAGTCGCTGGCAGTCGCGCATCACCTGCCGACTTGCGCCTGCCGAGCGCCCACCTCTGCCCCCCTGGGCACACCTCTCCCACCCTATCTTCTCACCTTGTTGTACAGACTGCTGCCAGGCGGATCTATCAAGAACACCTGCACCGCCGGCCGCTGCTGCTTGAGGAAGCAGGACACCCCCGCTATCGTGCCGCCGGTGCCCGCGCCGCTCACAAATGCGTCGATGCGCCCGCCCGTCTGCTCCCAGATCTCCCGCCCTGCCGCAGCAGACGAGGGCACAACCGGTTGGGCATCAGCGGCAACCCAGGCTGGCAGCAGCAGCAGCAGCAGCAGCAGCAGGCGCTTGCTACCGAACCAGATCCTACCCCTTGCCCCACTGTCCTGCCCATCCGCCCACCTGTCTTCAGGTGGGCGCGAAAGTTGGCGGGGTTCTCAAACTGGTCGGCGAAAACGGCGTTGGACTGCTCAGTGGCGCGCCGGCGTGCCACGTTGACAAAATGGTCGGGATGGGTGATAGACACGGGGCGCAGCCGCAACACCTCCGCGCCCAGCGCCTGCGGCAGCGGGCGAGCGCACTGGGCGTGGCGAGATGAGCCCGACAAGCGGCTCCCCAGGCTTCCGCACTGCTGCTACCTGCTATGGGCTATCCAGAAATCCCCCACCCACCCCCCGCGTGCTCCATCCGACCACGGCCAGCCCCAGCCCCAGCCTCACCCCTCAGCTGCCACCGCCTGCACCGCCGCCGACCCCACCTGCAGCATCTGCGCCTTCTCTATCGCCGCATCGTCGGGCATGGCGATGAAGGCGCGGCAGCCGTAGGCGGCGGCGCACATGGCCAAGCTGACGCCCGTGCTGCCCACCGTGCCCTCGGTCACCAGGCCGCCTGGCGCCAGCCGCCCCTCCGCTAGCGCCTCCTGAATGATCTCAAGAGCCACCCGGTCCTTCACGCTGCCCCCCGGGTTCAGGAACTCGGCCTTGGCCAGGATCTGTGGCGGGGGAGAGGCAGGATGTTGCATTGCAGAGCAGAGCAGGCTGCACAGCGCGGACAAACCCCAGCCTCCCCTGGCCGCACCTCGCACCCCGTCTGCTCTGACAGGCTCCTGAGGCGGATGAGCGGCGTGTGGCCCACAAGGTCAGCCAGCCCCTCGCCCACCGGCCGACAGCCGCTGGCGGCACCGCGCGGGTGGTGGCGGTGGCGTGCCTGCTCACCCCGCCGCTCCTCGCTGCTGGCCCCAGTCCACAGCCAGGCCACCAGATCGGCTACCCCGTACAGCACAGTGGAAGGAAACTGTGCTCTAGAGGCCAGCACCTGAGCGCAGCGGGGACGGCGGCAGCAGGGGTGAGCGACGGCGGCGGGCAATGGGCACCGGAGGCGAACACCTGATGAGGGCGGGCGGCCAGCATGAGCCAGCTTGATCAAGCACGCGCTTCTCTCACTCTGTAGAGCACCAGGCTCCCACCAGCAGCTGCCGCCAGCAGCAGGAGCCTGTCGGAGTGTCGCATGGCGGCTCCCTGGTCCCTGAAGAGCAGCAATCACGATCACAATGTGATCAAAATGGCCTGTAGCGTGTTGCAGCCGGATGAGAGAACTGCTCGCCACTGCAGCATGGCCAAGAGAGCACGAGCGCCATCCTGCTCTGCTTGTGGCGGTGGCGGCAGGCGGTGGCGGCAGGAGGGGCCAGCGACGTCAGAAACCCACCGGGGCCGCGCTGCAGCAGACTCGGCACTTAGATCGAGACGGTATACCCTTGGGCGGTCGTGCAGCTCTGTGGGAGGAACCCAGAGAGCAGGAGACACGTGTTGCCCCCTGATGTGGCACCCTCCCGATTGGGCAACCCCCGCCCCCGCTCGCTCCTGGCAGCCCGCGCGGCGCTCCCCTCCCATACGTGAACTGACCCCATAGAGCCATGTTTGAGGGTTGAGCGGGGCGGAGCGGGGCTGCTTGCACACGTGATGGCATGCACGCTTCAACGCTCCCGCTGTCATCTCACCTCTCTAGCGTCAGAAATACAACTCTTACAAGCCAACCAACACGAACAGAGAGACCGAACAACAGAAATGAACAGGAAATATGAAGCCGCCACAGGCGGCAGCACCTTTCAGCGGAGACGGCAAAGCGTACAAGGCACACTTCTTCAATGGTTCTTGCAATTGCCACCCTTACCGGTTATACAGCCACAGTGCCGCCCACACCGCGCACCATTCTTCTTGCAGCTGCAGTTCCGGGTGCAGGCGCCGCGGCAGCCGCAGCGCACGGCTGCCTTGCCGCCGCCGGGCTGCGCCGCCATCGCCACATTGAGAGACACCACAGGCACTCCTCGCTGC